GGAGGGAAGCAGGCAGGCAGGCTAGGATTCAAGAATATGTTGGTAAGTAAAGCCTTGACTCAAAGAGAAACGATCTGGAGTTGCTAAGTAGACTGGTTGCTTCCTGGTGACTATTAGCGAAGGGTTGGTATGGAGATGAGGTAAAGACCCGAAGAGATGTTCTATGCAATTGCCAAATATGTTTGGTTGCATAACTCACATTTGTAGTGATATGTGACTTCCAACTTGTAAAGGCTTGTCAGGAGAATCTGGTCTTGACCACTCACAGTCCCCTCTTCCAGGTCTCCTTAAGTCCTAGAAATTTGCCTTCAAGGTGAAAGGAAAGTGAACCATCTTTCCAAAATACAATGTGAATAGTCATGATTTCTCTTTGTCTGTGATAGAACTGGCTTTTAAATTACTCATAAATGTTGGATAAAAATCAGGTATCCACTGAGTCCCTGGCTTGGTGATAGCTCAGGCAGTGATAGCTGTGACCTTTAAGAAATCTCTGCTTTGAGAGTCCACGGTTTACTGTCATTCAAAAAGGATAGTTCCTAAGTCTGCTTTGTTTTCTACCTGCTCAGCTCTCCAGACTTCCCTCTTAGTAGAGGATCCAGTGATGCCTACAGCATCTTCTCTGTTGATTTCAGTGTTTGTGTTCTGTCTCCAGTTTTTCTGAAGCCTAAGAGCAGGCTGGATTCTAGGGCTCCTGGATTTTTTGTAACCAGCATCAGAAACACTACCCTGAATGTCCTCTCTGCCACTTCATCAGAGTCTCTGAAGATCTTTTGCAAGAGTGACAGCGCTTCCTCCTAGGACTTTTAAGCAGTTGTGTTTGGCTAAGTTCATCATGCATCTGTCACACACAGGTTTCCAAGCCATATTCTCTTGAGATATCCATAGCCCCTGCACTGAATGTCCTCCACCTTCTTGACTTTCTTCTGGTGGGAACGCTTGGTAGAAATCCTTCGGCAGACTCTGACTGGCCAGCTGAGATACTACCTGTGTGCCTCTCTGTGGGGTCTCAGTTCTCCCAGCACCTTCTCTAGAGCTATGCTCTGTATTAATGGTGAGGGACAAGCATTCTCAAGCTCTGTGCTCATCCGTGTTCATCCACATTCAGTGTAAACAAACAATTCAAAACCCAAATAGAAGTGATTTTCTGCTATACTTACTTTTTTTAATTCTTCCTACCCTTGTCTGTTTGTCTTTCTCATTCTTTCTCTCTCTCTCTCTCCCTCTCCCTCTCCCTCTCCCTCTCCCCCTCACTGTATAAACCAGGCTAGCCTTAAACTTGCAGCAATTCTCTTACCTCTTCCTCCCAAGTGCTGGAATTACAAGCATGCACCAGTATACCCAGCTTGCCCCTGGTCCCTTACCATTAATTATAGAGAATGGGTGGTTGACTCAGTTACTTTTTAATTTTGTCAGAAAGGATCATTTTCATAAGTAAAGGAGGTGTGAAGTAACTATATCACTGCTTGAAGTGTGAAAAGAAGAATGGTTTGGTATACGAATCTTTTCAGTAGGATTCAGGAAGTGGAATGATTCATCCATAGGTATAATCCTTTTAGGAGATTCTGTGCTCAATGGGAATGGAATGGTTTCTGATCTTTCTGAAGAGAAAAGGAATTATCATTTTTCCCCTGAATCTAGCCCACTTTCAGCCTTGGAGAATCCAGAAGTTTTTTCCTAGCTGATGATACTAATGTTTCCTGAGCAAGAAGGAGAACCCACCCACCCATGGTGTTCTTCTGAGTCCAGCAGAAATCAGCAAAGTTGGACTCAGCAGGTTTGTGGTTCAGTTCAAATGCAGGTTTTTCACTTGTGCAATAACGTTGGAACCAGAAGCACCAAACTGAATGTGCATCACTTTGTGAAAGGAGCCAAAGTCCTCCTTCCTGTCCCCTGCCCTCTCCTCCAAGATGATAGACCCCCCTTTCGTTTCTGTCCGATTGCTTAGAAGTGGCTGTTCTTCCAGGCTAGTGGTGTCGGGTGGAGAGCAACCTTCCCATGGAAGGGGACAACCTGAGGTGCTGGTACACGTCCCTCATTTTCTATGTTCTTCTTTCTAGTAGGTCTCATGTAGAGATAGAGATATTTTTGTTTTAGAGATTCCAAAGTATATATTTTTAGTGTAAGAAATGTGTGTCCCATGGTGTAAATAGAACTGGGAACAAACATATCATTATGATAATCCCATAGCAATTTGTGGTAGAAACAAGACCCCCTTTTCTGATCTGTGTCTGTGACCCAGGGCAGGTAATCGTGTCAAGCTAGCCCTCTGCCTGCCCACACTTGTGTGTGCTCACTTCAGTGGGTGACAAATAAAGTCTATAAACTGCTTACTCCTGTGCTGTTCTTTGAGACTAAGTCCATGGCTGAGCTGACACTGAGCAAGTTCAGAAGCTATGGAGAAGGCTCATGAAGATGGGTAAAACAAGGTGGGTGGTGTCTTCTGAGGGCCACAGAATGGCTGTGTGCTCCTGGTACAGTTCTGAGTAGAGTCCTTAGGGCTGAGCCATGACATAGGCCACAGGGCTCTCTCTTAGGGTCAGCAGAAAAGAAAGGCCATTTTGGAGACTTGCACATGTGTGGAGCACTTGCTAACATCTAGGCACTCTCCGGTGTCTCAAAATATAGATTTGAGAATCTGGCCCTCAGTAGTTGGTTTGGGGAGAGTGGGTGTGTGCTTGGTACTCCTCCTCTGAAACCTTACAGTTGGAGGGTTGGACACAAGGCTAAGACAGAAGCAGGGGAGTAAAAACATAGACCCCAGTGAGAGGGCGAAAGGAAGAGGGAGTGTGCGAGCCGGGCAGCACGCCTGACTGATAAGAGAGGCAGTCCCTGGAAACTGAGCATGGGGCCAAGGGAGGCAGTCTGTGAGGTGAGAATCAGTCACGCAGGGCCTGCAGTCTGTAGACACAGGACTCACCAGCTCCAAGACCTTGTACTATCTTTTGGCTTTTTCCAACACGTCAGTGGTATACCACGAACTTTGCCTCGCAGAGATGCGTATAAACCACATCCTGTGGTTGGTAGTACATGGGAAGCTGCTCTTGCCAGGCACAGCAGGTTCCGATACCTTGGGCTACAGAAGGGTGGGGGCACTTGTGCGCCAAGAGAGCATCATCATCCTCACATCCAGGGTTAAGGATTCTGGTAACTGATATATAAAACGTCCTCTACAGTGCCTGGCTCATAGCAATGTAGTAAGCAATAATAAAATTGGAAGTAGGTAGTTGCTAGGTTAATTCGGCAGTAATTGCATAAAGGAGCTGATGAGCTTCTCTGTCATTTTCTTAGTTTTTACCTCATTGTTATAAGATGGCTCCTGAAGCTCCAGGCATTACATTTGCCAGGATGACTTCCCCTTGTGGGAAGGGATAGGAGGCATTTTTATGTCCCTTCCCTTTCTCTCGACTCTTGCTCTCTCCTGTCATCTCCTTTTTTTTCCTGAGACAAACTCTAGCTGGCCTTGAACTCACAGGGGTCTACCTGCCTCTGCCTTCAGAGTGCTGGTACTAAAGGTGTGCTCCAAAACACTGAGCTCGCTCTTATTTCCTAAATAAGGGGGAAAAATCTTTCCCAGAAGCAACCCCCAGTTGTTAGTCAGAACTAGAATGCATGCCCATCTCCTAAAATGGGGAAAGGAGGATAAGATTATCCTGTCTGGCTTTATCCTTTGGGTTGAGGCCCAGGCCCACTTCCCGATTCTGTTGCTGCCCTAGCACCTGCATGAAATCAGAGTTCTTTTAGTAAAGAATAAGGAGCTGCCAGGGAGCCGGAAGATCCTGAACAGCAGGGCCTCCTGTAGAGCTGGAGCCAGGCGGAAATCTGAGACACTTCTCAGGCCAATGCACCTCCACACCCTGAGGAGAGTGCCACCCCCCAGTACCTAGGCCCCACTCTACACCAATTAAACAGATGCTCTTGGGTGAGCACAGGTGCCAGTGTTGGTGAGGAAATCTCCAGATGGTTGTTCTCTGCGTACAGGGCTGAGCATCAGCTGCTTCACCTTTGGTGAAACTTCACCTCCAGCTAGCGCATTCCCACCTCTCCCTGGAATGTTCCCCTATGTTAGAGCTCTTGCCCAGACTCTCACAACCTCACCGCCTCCAGATTCTTCCAGCTTCAACCCCCACAGTTCCCAGCAACACTGTCTTTGCACTTCCAAAGTGATTCCCAAGCTTGACAATGCCAATGGGTCACTGCTTGTCTTTTTTTAGCAGGCCACACTGTAGGGCCCGACAGCCTATGGCTTGGGGGCCAGCAGGGAAAAGGTGCAGTCAAGCAGTAAAGAACATGGCTGTGAGGGACTGTGACTTGTCAGTTTCCCATAGATAGGAGGCAAGGGCCAGAGAGACACAGTAATGATGTGCCTAGTTAGTCATGGGCAAAAGCAATTCCTCTGGGTACAGACCTGGACACACCTGTACTCCTTTCACTTCTGGTTGTGTTTAATTACAGGGGTACACAGGTGCATGTTTACAGGATATTACACTGCTCACTTGGCAAGCACACTGTGAACTTACTTGTTTGGTGATGACAGTGCTTGAGTGGAGGGACGCACAGTCCTTCCTTGTCAGGAGGCAGAGGCCCTCAGAAGAGGCCAGGGCCTGTAACAGGCAAACCAGCACAAACCTGCCTGAGTTTCAAGTCCCAGCTCTGTTTCTACAGCCAGTTGACCTTTGGCAGTTCACTTCAGTCATGCCTCAGTTTCTCCACCTGCAAAATAGGAGGGATAATCCATGTTAAGAGTCAGTGGGGGCAGTAAGTGGATTCTCAAGTGTGTGAAAGCGGGCGCCTCCCCTGTGCCCCATGCCTCCCCTAGTTGCCATGTGTCTTCTCCCACCCTCCTGCCCTTGGCTTTGCAGCTG